CATACATTACTCATGTGACATACTGATCCACATTCCAGAGATAGGATAAATTTGGGGTGACACTATTATTAAGTATTTTATAGCTGTAGATGTACATAAGATGACAAACTAAAAATACTTTAAATGGACACAACTTTGGGACTGATATTGAAATAAAAAACTGAAACTGAAAATACGAATCACTAATTTGAAGATGGAGAAGTGTGAACTGCATCGGAATCCGTTGTTCCTTGATCCATGCTGGAGCCTGTGGCCTGATAACAAAATTCTGAAATTTATAAACAAAGAGGTGGGATAATAGGTTGCAAATCAATGCAATGAAAATAAATACAAGACTCTATGGTATGTGCAACATGAACAATAGTAAGCACACAATTCAGTTTTGTCAGATCGTTTATCAGCAGCCTGTCAATCATAGGATCCCAGTTTCATCTTGTTGTGTAACTGCTTTTAAAATGAGCATTATCGGTGCCATGGATCACTATTGTCTGGCATGTTGTTGTAGGAGGATTGGCTTCTATAAGTTTAAAATCAACAAATATCTTCTGTTAAATTTTCGTCTGCGTAAAGTGTTAACATCTGTTTTTCACCAAGATAAATAAAAGACCAAGATAAATAAAAGCTAATTCTCAAGTAAAACGGATTCCTGATAAAGCAAAATTAAAAGAATTCTATATAAGCAGGATCTTAGTTGAAAAGTGAAAGTAGAAATAATTTCTGATAATGTAGAATAGTTCGCTAAAACGTTTTATGACTAATAGCATGTCTTCTAGGATTAACAAAATTGTAGTCAAGCTAACCTGCCATGTACGATACTGTAAAGCATTTAGCCAAGTCTGTTTGTTTTAGTCACATATCAATATATTTTTTCAATTGTGAATGGATAGCAAGAGTCCTGTTCTACAATCTTACACATCATGTGTGATGTACTGAACACTACCCTTCAAAGTCTGAGCCTGTCAGTGTGCTGCTGTTAGGTGACATTGTTATTGACTCACTGGTTCAATGTATACTTGTCATAAGTAACATCAATATTATTTTTGTTAGATGCCATTGTTATTGACTCACTGGTTCAATGTACATGTATTCTTATTATAAGTAACATCAACATTATTTTTGTTCAAAGATGTTCAGATTCTGCAGATCAAAATGTCACAAAGCTTTCAAGAAAAAGAGGAATCCTCGCAAAGTGAGATGGACCAAAGCATTCAGGAAAGCACATGGGAAAGATTTAGCTGTGGTGAGTAACTTGGTTATATACACACTTAACTGCATGTAATAAATGTGACTAATTTACTGTTTTTCACTAAATGTATGTATGTGTAAATGTGTAACGTTCAGTCAGGCTTGCCTCTATAGAGCGTAGACCAGAGCTACATAGGCAACCCGTAATGACAAAACTAATAACGAAGTGGTGTGCCATTGATTCATGCTTATATCAACAATAGCCTTCATCTGAACAGCGGATTCATCGTATCATGTCATTTGCCATCCTCATATCGTTGAACTACGATGCCACGGCGATGACCACGATGTACGTACGCTTAGAGTGATGTCGTGCTGTAGTCAGCGATAACAAATATATATTCGCTGCACGGCACTCACACTTTTACTCTCATAAATGCTGTTACTGATAAATTAATTTGAGACGATACATCATTCTGTGAAATTCCCTT